TTCGCCGACAAGTCCTCAAATTTGACCTCAGATCAACGGTTTAGCCCCCATAGGGCACCGCTCTGATTGACCTCAAATTTGACCTCAGATCAACGGTTTAGCCCCCGTGTTTTCATCGCTCTAGCACGTCTCTGTCAAATCAAAAGTTATAATAAAAAAACTGCTGAAGACCTTTCATGACCTGAGATGACCTCAGGGGCATACAAAGGGGGCACAAGTGCAATTTTCCGATTCAGTGTGTCATGTTTACCTATGGACCGATGTTTGAGAGGGTGTAGAACGACATTCGGCCAAAAGAGGCTCATTTCAATTTTCTCCCATTGACTTATATGGAGCAGTCGCAAAATTGACCTGACCTTAGGTCACAACTCACAGATATAAAAAAATCCGAGATATCCATTTTATATATACTGTTACCCTAAGCAAGTACTGAAAGTTTCAAAGTGATCGCTCAGTCGGTGTAGCTACAGCGAGCTTTCTAACTTTTTTCGGAGGTAAGGTCACTTGACGTTACATGGTGACCTGACCTTGAATTACCGGTATCTGAAATTTTCATAGCATGTGCGAAAAAGATGTCGGAACGGGTGTATTTAAAACAGCGGCGCTACGCGTCGACGTTTTTGAGATATTCGCGAAAAACCTAGGGGGCGTAAAAACGCCCCCCCCAGGACGGCGCGGATCAAACGGCCCCTGAGACCTCGGGATGGTGCCCCTGAGACCTTGGGATGGTGCCCCTGAGATTTCGAGATGGTGCCCCCTCAGACCAGACCCGGGGAGAGTGCTCCTTCAGACCTCGGATTTCGAAAAAGTGCCCCTGGAAACTTGGAATGGTGCCCCCGGAGAACTCGGGATAGTGCCCCTGAGAACTCAAGATGGTGCCCCCGCGGACCTCGGGATGGAAATAGATGGACAATACTAAACTAAAAACTAAAAAACTCAACTAAACTAAAAAAAACGAGTCGAGGGACAGAAATGGGCCTCCAGGAGACCCCGAAAACGGTACCCTATTCCAATAGACCTTCTGGATGGTGCCCCCTTAGGAGACCTCTGGGTTAAAGCTCCCGTCGGTGACCTCCGTGATGAATAAAAAAAACTCCGTGATGGGCCCCCGGGAGGCCCAAGGGAGAATGGCCCCATGCCCTCCCTCTGGATCCGCCACTGAAATGATCTGACCCAAGATCTTACCTAAAAACGACTAAAAGCCTTCCTTCATTGTCCGAAAACCGCTGACAGTTGATAGCTCAATGACACTAGAGCCGTGCATAAGGAGGCGTGAAAACACTCTCCTCATCTCGATCTATTACGAGAGGACCATGTCATGGCGTGAGGAAGGTGTTCTCAAAATAGATGGCACTGTATGAATGAGTAAATAATTGGCGCCCCGTTGGGCTATTGGCGGACCCTACCACCTGATGGGGTTGTGCAGCCGTTTCGTCCTCCACCTGAGATCTCGGAAAGTTACCGACCGATTTTGAAAATTCGAAGAACGTTCGATAGCCCCACCAGGAGCTATCGAACCTTGTTACCAGGTTTCGTTGACCTAGGTGCAACCCATGACGTCACAAGTCAGGTCAAAGGCTGCATTTTTTCACCGATTTAGTCTAAGGAATGCGTTACAGTCAGTTAACCCGCGCACCGACGGGGGTCTGCGCCAACTTAGTACCGACGGGGGGGGGGCGGATGACCGCCCCCCCCTGAGATCTCGAGAACAAAGCAAGATAGCGACAAGCGGTAAACGGCATCGGATACGCACGGTCAAGATCTACAATTTTTACCAAGGTCATTTTCAGGTCAGGTCAAAGATGACGTCACAGGGGTCGAAAAAGTCAAAATGGCGGCGCTAAATATGGAGAGAGTTTTTCTCGAATAACTTTCGAACTAGTCAAGATAGGAACAAACTAAGGGCATCATCGTGATCCTCTCGTCAATCCGCATCGAATGATATATATGTTGACCTCGAAAGGTCAAGGTCAAAGGTTGACCTCAGGTCACGTGACCTCGAGGTCATCATGTATATCATTCGATGCGTCTTGACGAGCTGAACACAATGAGACCATCCACGCGTCTGTATCTTGTTCCTGTACGGAGTTATTGGCCAAAAACCTTTGGTGACCTTTGATGACGTCACATGACCTCACAGCTGCCCAACAGCAAAACAGACCTCAATTTAGTGAAGGTTGATCGTATATGAAGTCATGTATGGTATATGGGGCCATTCCGACCCGTTTTAGTGGTAAAAACAGGGAGTTGATTTTTCCCCCATTGACTTATAATGGGGAGGTCGCGAAATTGACCTGACCTTAGGTCACCGATATCAAAATTCCGAGATATACAAATTGTAGCTACTAATGACCTAATAACATCCTGCGACTTTCAAAGGCCTCCGACATCTACTGTAGCTCTGGCACGGTGACAAAGTTGCAAAAAAGTGACTTGAGGTTGGGTCATTCAAAGTGACCTGGTGACCTGACCTTGAAAGGTAGGAGGTTCAAACTTGCACACCATGTGTAAAATTGATAAGGGAATAGTCATACCAAATTTCGCGGCGCTACGCGCCGCGGTTTTCCCGCTATTCGCGAAAAACCTCAGGGGGGGGGCGGATATCCGCCCCCCCCCCCGTCGGTGCGCGGGTTAACACATCAAATAAAAGGCATGTTATCGAAAAACATCGATGGAGCGTGGTTTCCCAATACATATGTTGCCTATAGAGGTCACTGATGCCAGGTCAGGTCAAAGAGGTCAGGTCACTAAGGGTCACAACAATATGAACCCAACTATGCTAATTGCTAGGGTCGCGTGATACATATTTTATGGTCAATTTTACATTTAAAATTCAATGGTGTGGGCTAGACGGCCATTGGGGCCGGTTTAGATTACGTTCTGGTGGAGGTCAGGTCAAGGTCAGGTCAAAAAAGGTTAAATTTCAGAGTTGATATTTTGCATAAAAGGGGTATCTATTCGATGCAGCTCATCACGGGAAGTCCAATGGTGGTCTTTGGCTTGCTCTGTGTGTTCTGTGACGGCTAAAAATTGAGTTTGAAAATTTTACGCAATACATTTTGAGTAGTGTTTTTTTTTGCCATAACTTTGCTAAAAATGGAGCTGTCGAGTTTAAGTTTGGTATATCTAAAGCAGATAGTTCTATAACATATATTCCAGCTTTAATTTTAAATGTTGTTGGTATTTTCGGGGTGTTATACTTCTATAGTTTTGATGGTCGAAATAAATTTTTGTTTAGAAATCAGAGTTGGCAGTTTTGTAGCGCTGTTTATTTTACATCTTTTTTTTATCTTGAATGCCTATTTTTTTGTTATCTTCAAAACTGTAAGCGTGACAGCTCTTCCCGCTAAACCTTTTATTGGGTCGAAAATGACAGAACATGACGTCACTCTGACGTCATTTGTGACTAACCTTTCATAAGAGCTCTGGAAAAATTTGGTCACAAGGTGTAAAATGATGCCCGGAGGGGTCTTGAAAGTTTGTTGGCGACCTACGCTATACTTTAGGAGATATTGACTGAAAAGGAGAGGGGGCTGTTTCGCGCCCCCCTCCCCCCAACGGGGCTCGAGGCTTTCAGTTGTTGCTCTCACATAACTCTTGGTTATATTACAACGTAGTGGAATTGCAAGCTTGGCAATATAAGCTTCCTGCCAGCGCCGGACCCGAGTTTAAACATGCAGGCTGAATTTTAACATTTGACTTTTAAATTTTTACCGTTGAGCTTTTTAGAAGTTGTATGAACTGTTCAGCTCCTTTTTTGGTCCATCACAGCGGGCTTGTATGTCATTTGTCTTGTCAATCAAAGTCGAATCAAAAACTTTTTATTGGGTCTGATTATCTCGGCAACTTCTTAACTGAATCGTTTAGTAGCTTTTGATTGGGCACTGCCCACGTTGTCTGTCAATTTTTTCGTGTCAAGGAGAAGAGGCTGCTGACATCGTTTGTCGCGGTTAGATATAGGTATACCAATCCACGTCTCAGTGTGGCTGCTCGATCGCACTTTCCCTGGCCCACCTCTCCCACCCGGCACAGCCGTCGCCTCAGTGCCTCGGGCGGTGACCCGTTCAAAGGGGCTCACAATTCGTATGGTGCCGTGGCTCTCAAACCAACACAGAACAGTGAAACGCACAGGCTTACCTTCCATATAAGGCGAACGGCTGATTCTGGCGCCGGGGCTTCATTCATGCTAAAGCGCCCAATCACAGCGCCGCATTTCAGTTAGTGTCGGGCGCAAAAGCTGCTATGCTCCGCCTTTCCATCACGTGACCCTGCCCTCACGTGGCCTCAGTCACGTGGTGTTTCCACTTCTTGGCGCATGGCGGCGCTAGTCTCGCAAGGGCGGTGGTAGCTTGCTCCCCCGCCGTCCGAGGGTGATGGGTAGCAAGTGCTGGTGACTGTACATACAGTGCGCAGACGAACATTGAAAACGGCGAGCCGTCGAGCGTGGGGAACGAAGCCAGCGGCCACGTATTATGCTAAGTACTTTCCAACTACACCACTCAAGTTATTTGGTTAGGTCATAATGATAAAATGCAATTCATATCAGAGCAAACTCCAGGCGTAGTTTATATAGCTGTTAAGCATAACTCGTTTTTTTATTTGACACCCTTTAATAGTACAGCATGTGGTTTGGCACGTTCACACCACAGTCATCAACAAAGCAAACCAGACTTGGCAGACTGGAGAACAAGTTAGGCTCAACGAGGATTCGCCTCGTGACCGATTACAGAAATAATCATTGAAAAGACAGCAAACGATACGGTTAAAACTCTATGCATCGGTCTGGTCCCAACTCGATTATCAGTAATCGGACCGACCACAAGCAATAGGTACGCAATAAAGACGTTCTGAATCACATGGAAAATAGCAGGTTTCTATATAAGCTGTTCCCTTCACAAATCCAAACCAGACCTGGCTATCAAAGCGATATCGTGTGGAAACGTTGGAGTCGGCCCGCCCGGAATCTCGGCTCCCCGACGAGGACACAGGGCGACTCCCGGCAGCTCTTGTACCAACGCCAAGCGAGGTCGGAGCCAGTCCCGAAGTGGGCGCGCCGTCGGACAAGATGAGGGCCCGCGCGCACCGTTTGGACGACGGCCGATAACCTGCCACAGGGGGGAGGGGGGGGGGGTCGTACAAGTATGTTAGTGAGTGGTGAAGAAAAGAGCAGAAATGAATAACGTGTACTCTTAACAATTGATCACAAATGTAGTCACTATGATGAGCCATCAAGAGCCATACGAAAGCGTCACGCCGACGTTCACATTCCGGAAATGAGTATACGCAAAGCGAAATACATTTGCAACTACACATGCGTTATACACGTCATATAAAAAGTAACATTATCAGCTCCAGATCGACTCACCCCCGTCATCTCGCAGCTTGGCATCTGCGACACCAGCTCCGGGTGGGTTGCAGTACGGCCGGGTGCAGCGGCGTGCGACCGTCACGGCAGGGCGGCCGCCAGCCCTGCAGTACGGCCAGGTACAGCGGCGTGCGACCGTCACGGCAGGGCGGCCGCCAGCTCCGGGTGGGCTGCAGTACGGCCAGGTACAGCGGCGTGCGACCGTCACGGCAGGGCGGCCGCCAGCTCCGGGTGGGCGTGCGCCGTGGAACGTCGTAGGCCGTTCTGCAGGACAAAACGATCGACTGTCAGCTGTGAAGGCTGACGAGCCGAGAATGGAAGGCATGTGAGGCAACTATTCGTTAAATGTTGACACCAAATATGACAAAACAGCGCAAAGGGCCGTTCCCAGCCGTAGTATAGCTGTTAAGCATCACTTGTTTTTGATTTGACTCTCAAGTTGAATATCTAATGCAGCATGTGGTTTGGCACATCAACATTACAAAGCCATCAATAAAGGAAACCAGACTTAACAGACTAGAGAACAAATTAGGCTCAACGAGGATTCGCCTCGTGACCGATTACAGAAATAATCATTGAAAAGACAGCAAACGATACGGTTAAAACTCTATGCATCGGTCTGGTCCCAACTCGATTATCAGTAATCGGACCGACCACAAGCAATAGGTACGCAATAAAGACGTTCTGAATCACATGGAAAATAGCAGGTTTCTATACAAGCTGTTCCCTTCACAAATCCAAACCAGACCTGGCTATCAAAGCGATATCGTGTGGAAACGTTGGAGTCGGCCCGCCCGGAATCTCGGCTCCCCGACGAGGACGCAGGGCGACTCCCGGCAGCTCTTGTACCAACGCCAAGCGAGGTCGGAGCCAGTCGCGAAGTTGGCGCGCCGTCGGACAAGATGAGGGCCCGCGCGCACCGTTTGGACGACGGCCGATAACCTGCCACAGGGGGGGGGGGGGAGGGGGGAGGGGTCGTACATGTTTGTTAGTGAGTGGTGAAGAAAAGAGCAGAAATGAATAACGTGTACTCTTAACAATTGATCACAAATGTAGTCACTATGATGAGCCAAAACAAAACAACAAGCATTGCATTAATGGCAGTTGGCACCACTACATAATACTTAGTAAGTTAGTAGCAACATAATGAGTATTGTGATACATCTGAGATCTGATGAAATGATTGAAGTCATGAATTTCCATCTCAGACTGACCAAGGATCATCTAAACTTGATGCAATTTCGAAACTGACAAACGTAAGACAACATGTGCTTGAACATGAGAGGAATTTAATCATTTGAAGCTCATTTAATGTTAAGCTGTTTGGATTAAATTATTAGCATTCAATTTGACCTTCACCTTAGCATTACCATTATTGAATTATTCTAGTTTACAAGTGATAAGTATGAGGCTAGTTACAACAACAAGATTACCTTCTCTTGAAGTCATTCCAAGCAAATAGGGTTGGACCAGCTTCTTTCTTGCCATTCCTAAAATGACAAGAGCACACTCTTGAATGCTCATTGGGCTTTGCATCTTGTCTCCTGTGAAAAAGCAAAGCAATAAAGTTGGTTCTATTAGCAGAAAATGAATCAGACAGCATGGCCCTGCTTCACGGCAAGCCGTAGTTACCAACTCACCGCAGCTGGGCATTGGTGCTCATTTTCAAAAGAATTTAGAAATGTCAGTGAAATATCTAAACAATTTTGCCAGCATTTCCATTTGGACAGAATTTTGTCAGCATTTCCATTTGAACCTGAATGTGGGTAGCAGCGTGCAGTGAAACAGGGCCCTGCTCAGCAATGCTAAGCAAAGGGTGGAAACAAACAGTTGAAAATGAAAAGACAAACGAGCTAGAGCAGCATCTCCACACCAGCAGACTTCCTACATCAACCAATCTACAAATACACACCAGCAAGCACCAAGCAAAATCAGCAATTTTTACAACCAAATGTACCTACCTAGAAATTTGGGTAGGTACAAGTGGAGCAGACGTCACACCAAGGTTTTCCAGCTAAGGAGAGGCGCTATACCCGGAGATGCTTCTTTCTAACCTAAACGCCGGTGGTGTTGGCGCCTTCACCCACTGTTCTGGAGGCACCACTGAGATCCGAACTCAGGATCTCCTGTTTACCAGAAAACAAACATAACCTAACCTGGCCTAACCTACAAACCTACAGCGCCTATCTTTGGTTGGAAGGCCTTTGCGTGACGTCTGCTCTACTAATGCCAAAATTTGTACTTTTGGTATGATTAACTGCAACAAAAGGTGCTTACTCCCTTGCTGATCCTGCTGAGCCTCCCATACAGTCATACTGATACATTGTTTGCAATTGTACCATTTGAGAAACAAAGAAATGTGCCGACTGAAAAATATGGATACAAAGAATTGCAGGGACAAACATTTTCCCGACAAGTAATTGCGCAATGAAGAATTTTTTTATAAATTTAGTCCGAACCTTTTGATGGGAAGGATTCACAAGGACAGAGCCACCGCTAAGCGAAGCTTGTTGCGATGACCCTGCCCTCTACCCTCCGATCGCGCAATTCCGATTCTATGGCAGAATTTAGAGTCCAAAGTTTAACGTGCGCACAAATCCGCGCACGGCCGGTCCCCTCACTGACTTCGCCTGACTACGGCCTGCCACCAACCGCAACCATACCTGTCAGGAGGCCCATAAATGTCGAGCGCCCGACATTTTAGGTAAGGTACTCAAAAAGATTTGTCCTGAAATCACCTAGAAGTTACCCAAGCAGGTACTTAACAAAAAATGGTGTGAGCCTGTGAGGGTTGCATATCTAAAAAGTCATAAAAGCAGCAATATCACGATAATAAACAAAAGGAGATATCACAATGTCGCATGACGAACCTCATCAGTGTAGTCCATTTCTTCAACTCCCCCTCGTCCCGGGGCAATCGGAAGAAGGAGCACTTGGACTGGGACCTGGCGCTGGAATGACTGCATTGAGGCACAAAACAAAAAAGGCATATTTGCTCCTTAGATGTAAGACTGGCTCATCTCCGAGATTATTCGCCCCAACAGCACTCAAACTCGATGAAAAAAGCGGGAAAAGCCAAAAGGGCGACTCAATGCACATTTCTGATTATCTGTTCAAAGTGCACTTTCATAAAGATACGGAATGCGCTGATTGGCTTTAACGTGATGCGCTAACGTCACTCAACGTGAAAAAGCAGCCGTAAGCGGTTTTTCGAATATATATCGAATAAATGTATTGTTTGCGCAGTATTTGTAACAACAAAAACTGAGGCTCCTTCTCGCCCTTGGAATGTGCCATCGTTCGAGTGGTGCATCAAAAATTATTTTTGTTTTTATGGGATGAATACGTAGTTCTGTTCATCCTTCTATGAGATAAGGAAGAAAATTAGATGTCCCCGGCAGTAAAATGAAGATTTTTGGCACCTTGCAACACCCTGACAAAAGTCCATAGGATTTACATAATGTTTTAGAAGAAGAAAAAATCGTTGAACCCCACCGCCATTTTCTGGTCACGTGATGTCACCCACCTGGCCGCCTCCGGTTCGGGTTGCGGGAGCACAAGCGAGTTTGGTGTGCCCCTCTGGAGTCTGGACCCTACTCTTGCACCGTAAACCGCCAGCTTAGTCTATCACCACCCCCGCCGAGCCGGCGGCGGCACACCACGTGCTGCATTTGCGGTGCATTAGCGCCCCTCAGCTGCCCCAACTGACAACGCCGACCGGGGACGCCAAACAGCCGCGAAAGGGCCGCAAAAACCTGCAAACTGCTGATGGTCGTTAGGTGGAACTGAGCAGACCGTGTTGGTGTCGTGACGAAAATAGCTGGGATGGTGCAGCGAAAGTGGGCGGGAGCAGGGGCATTGCTGGTGCAATTTTCGAAAGAAACTACCGAACACCGTTTTGGCTTTTAACTTGAGCTTCTCTTGAAGCGTTTGTCCTATGAGCATATGCATCTGCAGTCTTGCAGTGTGCGCTGTCAAGGGCCAAAGGGCCTGTCTTGTTCTGCCGGCTGGCGGCCAGCTGCTGCCGCTGCCCGGAAACAGGGCGGGTCCTGTGGCACCGCTGTCGGTACGTGCCCGCCCCCCTCTCCCTCCCCCACACACACCGGCGGGTGGTATTGCTGACATATCCAATCAGTGCCGCCCGCTGACAGCGCATACATCGCCGTTCAAACACGGCTGATGACGTCATTAATGCCGGCAGTGACCTGCTGGACCTCGCGGTCCGCCGCAGGACCAGCCGCGTTTGAACGATCCGATTTGACCCCGAGAACGGCCTGACTTCCGGGGCCGTCGGTATAGTGGGTCGGTAATTGAAGGCCTGGAGCAGGGGCCGTTGGAGCCAGAATGCCAAAACCAATTTTCAGCGGCCCTCGTCATCATGGGACATGGTTCGTAACAGAAGGCGCAGTCACCGTTGCTTGGCTCTCAGAAGTAGCGGAAGGATGTCACGTCACATGGTTATTGGTTATGCTGCTTATGAATCGCCCTTTCGTGCAATCGACACGGATGGTCGGAGCCAAGCCGACACTCGACCTATGGAATGGTTGTCAACTGTCACCTTCGGTCTCATCGATGGACGGCCACAGCACGCTGCTCCCAACAGCCAACTCCAACCTGGGTTCGACGGGTCCGACGCTCGGAGCGCCGCGCCGATTCAGTCCGCCCGTCTGCCGACAGGCGGCGGTAGTGAGAGCCGGCCGTGTGTGTGTGTGAACAGAGCAGGGCGCGCTCCGGGGACCGGCGCAGTAGCCGCACATAACGCCCGCTCAGCTGTCGCCGGCTGGCGGCACACGCCGCGGTATGTGCGGCTAGTGGCCCGGTCCCGATAGCGCACCCCTAGTTGTTGTTCACACACCTCTCCGGTCCTGAACCGCACAAACCGTGCCCATCCGTGTCGGCTCCGTTGTCCGGCGCCCAAAACTCTGGGCGATTCTGGGCGCACGGGGTCGGCATGAGACAGGAACAAGGGTGCGTCTGGGGACCGGCTCACTAGCCGCTCATAACACAGCTGCCGGCCGGCCGATGGCGTCACACATCCTCGGCTGGTGCCCGTCGGCTACGTTATGGGTAGCTACTGAGCTCCGTAACCGAAGCACCAATATGGCAAGCAACGTTTTCGCCGCACCCGGCGACTCTCTCTCTCTCGCCCGTCTTCTTTTTCTTCTAAGAGACTATAAAGACGTTTATAGCCCGTGTGCAGATGCGGGTAGGTGCCGGGTGGGATTGGCACAAGCGAACTGTGAAAAAATGAAGATGAAAATGATAAAAGGCATTTTTACTTGCATTGGAAGTGAGTGGCGCGCCGTGCCGGGTGTAGAAGAGGCCCTCTCTCCCTTTGCTGCAAAAACGAAATACGCACAGTGGATGGCGCTTTTTGTGGCGAAAAATATTAGGCATTTTGATTATTTTCCCCGTTTCATGATAAATCAATCGTCAACGGCAACAGCTAATCAATAATCAATCAAAAGCAATCAATAATAGGTATTCATTCACCTTGGGATGTGCGGATCCGCGATGCTCCAAATTGCCATTGGGTCATCCGTTCATTTTGTCGGAAATGGCCGCTGACCATCCATATTCCATAATCTATTTGCCTGCAAATCTGACCGGTCTCCGTGCCTAAGTAGGCACAGGAGCCAAATCAGGGAGGGATGCCACCAGCCAGGCCGTGGCGGCAGCTTGGGAGCGTCGTGGCGGGCAAAAACGGCTCTCACCTGGCCTCACACCGACCACCGAGAAACATACACTGGCAGCTGGGGGCAGCATGTTGGGCAGGTGGAGACCCTCCCCACCCTTTGCCGGCGGACAAAGAAGGGTTGGCCCTGCGAGTGGCGGCGCAGGCGGCCGGACTAGGGACGTCGGTAAAAACGGAAATGCGCAGCCGCGGAGTTCGGACCGGACTGGTGATGTTGACGGGGTAAAAGCGATGCTCATTGCTCATTGCTCTTTGAAACAGACGCCGCTGCTGGAACGTTACAAGTCCTCATAAGTTGTTGCTTTTTGAATTAGGTGTGTTTTAATTTAACAGTGAAAAAACTAAAGATGCAAGCTGTATATACTGTATAGTGTATAGTTTATGAGCTACAAGAACCGCCCTCGTAAACAATGAATAACAATGCTGCGCCTGCGACATTCATCTTGACAACCAGTGATTTATAATTATGTTCTTTTTTGCGGTTGATCTTGGCTTTCAGCTCAACCAATTTAGCTTGGAATGTCCGATGTTCAGTGGACTTGATTCACCGACTGATACACCGGCTCGATTCCGTTCCGAAATATCGAACGGGCAGCTTCTAAACATCGACTAAACATGACCCAAACACGGCCAGATAATTTATGTTAACACGGACGTCGGGTTGCTCCTCCCACTGGAACCCCAGCGGGGGCCGTGATTCCAGTGCGGCTCCGTGCACTCGGACCGCCACCCCTCCCCGGGGACACGGCAGCTGGAAGGCAGGCCGCGCTGGTCACGGCGGCAGCGGTGACATGTTTGTTTGGTCTCGGCGGTCGTTTTCGGGTCTGCAATGCCGTCTGCTCCCCTGCATGGCCTCGTCGTGCGCTACGTCAGCCCCCTACTACGTCTATCCGTTCGTCCGCCCGCCCCTCCGGTGTATCCGTCCGTTCTTCCGTTCATCACTCTTGTCAGTTCATCTTTCAGCGGTTCCTTCAGCAGGGATCTGTTTGGCTCCTCGCGGGCCCATTGACAGACGTCTGACGTCCGGACCGTTAGCTGCACCTGTCCCTGCTCCGTCTCCCCACTCCGTCCCCACTCCCGTCCCCACTCCGTCCCCACTCCCGTCCCCACCCCACTCATCCTCCCTGTCAGGAACGCGCCGCCCGGGGCCCCGGTGCCGTCTGCCTCGCGGGACGCCTGCTCGCGGCTCGCTGGAAAACACAAACAAGGGGTGGGTGCCGCGGGTGGCGGCCGCCGCTCAGACGCCGCCGCCGCCCTCAGGAATGCGGCCCGGCCGGCGGTGCTGGGGTCGCCGTCCCCTAAAGACGGTGCACCCTTCCCCACCTCTGCTTCACGGGCTACCACTGAATCTCAGAAGGCCCGGCGGCTTCTTTACCCCTTCTCCTCCCCCTCAGTTTCTGGTACGGCGTGGAATGTGATTTAGACTCGCAGGGTCTGCCGGTGGTCATGCCATGTGCCCGTCGTTATCGTTTGCAGTGCTGTCCACCCTGCACCCTCAGCGGTGGCAGACGCCCCTCGGCGGCGACGGGAGGGGGCGCCACCCGAGTCGAGTGGAGACTGGAGGACTGCTGGGGCGCTGCAGTCGCCGGACGTACCGGAGCGGCGCTGGACCTGAGCTAAAGGGAACGACGAGGATAGTTGCAGCCAGGAACAGGAGCAGGAGTTGTCAGATGAGGAGCGGTTGGTTACTCAGTCTCAGGAGCAGCCGGAGCCAGTGAAAGGATCGGTCGGAGTCTGAGACCGGAGTCAATCTCCGCGCTGAGCCGGCGCCAGCTGCGGTGACCGCCGGTGTCAAACTGCTGGTCAGACCCACTCGGTGGTCGGTGGGGCGTGACGGACGGCAGCGGCGGGCTGGGACGGCGGCCAGAGACGGCTGTTATCCCGGCGGGCCCACCCCTCGCAGAGCCGAGCGGACCGGGCGGTCAGTCGTGCTGAGAGGGTGCCGCGGTGAGGCCGGCGGACTGAGAGGGTGCTGCGGTTAGGGTCAGTCGCGCTGAGAGGGTGAGACGGTGAGCCGAGTGCTTCTGAAGCCACAGTCGGTAGTGTGTGAGAGGCGGACTACCGGATTGTGACGGAGGAGTCTGGTGTCGTTACGACAGAGTCATGTCGGCCACGGCGTTCTCGTCTATGGATCGGTCATGGTACCGAGAGCTGCACGGGTTTCCGACGCGCTCCCTGACCTGGGACGGAGCTGACACGCATAGTGACACAGGTGAGACTGGCATTGTCGCTGCCGCTGGTCTGGGATGAAGGTGACATGCTTCATGTGAGACATGCTGATTGAGCATCATGTCCGTGTTGAACGGGGCTGACACGACCTCTCCTCTCTTTAACCCATGGGCAAGGAAAGAGGCAGACGCATCGACCTTACATTGGTTCGAGGGGGGGGGGGGGCAACGAAACCTCAATGTTACTGTGGGAGCCCCATTCCCCAATACCTCTGTGAAGAAAGTCATTGCAGTTTTGCGCTTATCTCACCTTGCTGAACCATTTCCTGCTCTTATTTTTGTATTTAAATCAAAAATAAAAAGTTAATTTAAAAAATGGTTGAAAAGTGGGAGGCATGGCCACCCCCTGTTCCTACGCCTATGCGAAAAGCCGGCATGCTCCTCAATATTTTCTCAATCGGGAATTGTGACAAGCGTAGCTTATCCATATTTGCTTCCCGTGATCACGAAGGCTCGCCATGACTAGCCCCGGCTGTCGAAGGATCCATTTTACCACCCAGACGTTTAAACATTACCCCTGCAATTCCCTGGCAGGGCGGAAGGCCACATTCCTGCAAGGCGCCTGTCAGCCCCTTGGGGCGCCCGCCGTTCCGCTCTGCACTCTGTATCACAAGGCGCAACCCCAGTTCGTGTGGTCACTATCCCACGGGGCGCCCATCGCAGTTCGCCCGGTCCCTGTCCCACGGAGCACCTACTGCACGTCCCCTATACCCTGTCCCACGGGGCGCCCACTGTACCCTGCCCTGTCCAAAGGGCGCTCTCGCCCCGCTCAGCCCTGTCCCATGGTCGCTCACTGCCCGCTCAGCCCTCCACGGACCGTGCCCGGAGAGCGGCACCGCAGCCTCCCGGAACCCGTCCCTCCGTCCGGCGTCCGGCCGCTGCCGTGCGGCGGCCCCGACACGGCTCATTCCTGTGCTGTTTATGTTTACGGGCGGCTCTGTGCGCCCGCCCCAGACGGTGGGCGGCCGGTCGGGGTCCCGCGGCGACATGAAACCAACATGAGCTCCGACGGCGAGACAAACGGTCTGCCGGAGTGGAACCGGCCCGACCCTATATCGTGGGGAGCTAAACGGTCTGCTGGTGAGCTACATGCTGCTGTTGGTGGCTGCTAGCTTACCTGCTGAAGGCAGCTAACAGTTGCCGTTCTCTCGGAGAGAACCGAGCCGACCCCTGTCCCGGTGACTGCGGAGAGAGCTTTTAGTGGCCGGCTCTCTGTCTGAGCGGAGAAGCACAGAGCGGTTTCTTGCAGAACCTCTAACCGCAATCATCTCGGCCGAGGGCTAAGCGACCCCAGGCGTCATGACTAACCCGCCTTGGTTATTCTTCAGCGAACCGTATCATCGAAAAGAGTGGCAATTATGTGTGAATTGGAGCCGCGATTTGGTGACGGATCACCGCTGGGAAAGTGGATTAGTGTGACACCACCTCCTCCTGACTCCGTCTGACCGTCTGACCCGAGCTGACCCAACGACAGCCACTCAGTCCGCCAGTCTGCCGAAATGGATCCACTGCTCAGCCAAGTGAGACGGGCTACTGGTAAAGAAGGGAAATCCAGCACGACTTCCTTGGCGAAATGGCTCTTGCGATTTCGACACCTGACCGGGTCCCATGGGGACGGGGGTCTTGCGAACTGGGGTCGGAAAAAGTTATCACATGCATGCTCCGCACTCAAATGTACCGGCGTGTTCCCAGGTCGTTATCGTCCAACTGAATTTGGAAGTAACTCTCAGCTCACTGGGCTGTGTTGTCGGCGGCTAGTTCCGTTCCCTCGGCGACTGGTGCACTGCAGAGAATGTGCAAGACCCGAGTTCGGGCCCGGCTGGCTGACGGTCGACTCTCGGTCTCGCTCCATTGACCGCGGGTCACGGCACGCCGGTTCGTCGGCTCACCCGCCGAGTCACGGCGGAACGAGTGCAGTCGTCACGGTATACCTGGCTGCGGAACGGCTGGCTGGGCTGAACCCGGTCCGACCTGCCGTCAGCGATGATAGATCTGTCACCGTCTTGTCATTATGCGCGACTCGGGACGGGGTAAACCAAGTTTACGGACGGTTCTTGGTCCTTAGTGATCGTGTCAATCTTTCGCCTGCTGATTCACTCACTGCATCGTCCACTCCCATTCGAGCACGAAATAAGTCACTGCTTATTAGAAATTTCATTCAATCACTCGTTCACTCCATGCAGCGCTTGATGACTCACTAACGGTGAGCTAGCTGATTTGATCCCTGAGATTCCTTCCCTCGTAACACCTGTGACATGTACCGACGCTGACATATTGACCTCTCATCGCGCTGCATCACGCACACGACCTCCGCCCTGCGGTCCGCACCTGTAAAAGTGTCCCACCACTCACTATTTCACCGAGAATGTTTGTGTGCCGACAACTGGGGCCCAGCTGTGCGCCGTGACCTTCCCCGGCTGACGGCTGAATTGACTGACTGACGACAGGCAGTCGCAGCCGTCGAACTGCCGTCCGCAGTTGGTCGCCGGTCGCCGGTCTCGATCGGTTTCGCCCCGGCGCCGCGTCCGTGGTTCGTTCGTTGGTCCCGCGCAAGGCTCTATAACTATATATAGGTCCCGCGTCTCTTGTGCTTGCTGTGTGTGTGTTCCGGATTGGCCGGGTCGGGATTGTGTGACATGTCCACCATAACGGCAGGTCGTTTTGGACTAGTTCAGTAGACGCTCATAACCCGTCTGTCCGCCGTCCGCCGGCCGGCTCGCTGACAGTGACGTCACTGTGGCCATCAGCGTCTCTCGGGCGAGGCCCCGTCGGCCGGCGGCAGTAGCTGTTCATAACACAGCCGGCCAGGACCGCGGCGCGGACAGGGACTGCCGAAATGAGCCGGCGCTCCGACCCGCGCCAGCCGCTGTTTGAGCTGCTTGGAACTAGTCTGCGCACCTGGCACCACATGGACGACGATGAGGAAGAAGAGGAGGAAGAGGGGATGCCAGAGCGGGATCGGTCGGACCCCGTTCAGGAGGGGCCGCCCGTCACCCCGCGGGAGCAGAGGGCCCGCCGGCGACTGCATGTCACCTGGAGCGCCGACCTGTGCTCTGAGTTGCCGGATCAATCCTCTGCTGAAACTGAGCACCGAGAGCGGGCCGGCTCAGCGGTGGAGCGGCGGGGTGATGATGTCTCAGACTCGGCTGGGATACCGGCCGGATCAGTGGAAACTGAGTTCCCCTCTCTGTCAGTGTCAGACCCGGAGTCGGACACCCGGAGCTGGTCATCCCCCTCCGACACAGAGCCGGCGCCGGAGACTCGTTCCTCCCAGCCCGTGTATAGTGATAACATTGAGCCGACTGTGCACGGTGTGACGGACGGCGGCAGTCGGCGGCCGTTCTATTACGGAGGCGTCGCTGCCGACTCGGTCGGCCCTCCGTCCGGCGTCCGGTCTTTGGAGGGACTGGAACTGTGTGGGCCGCGACCGTGTGACAACTGGCGACCACTGCCGAGTCCCCGCCTCCAGCGGTCGGGCAGCTCCTCATCTACAGGGTCAATTAGTCGCGATTTGTAGGGGAAGGTGGGGTAAGACGGCCCAGCGGGGCAAGACGGACCACCAGCCCTCCCGGCTGAACCGCTGCTGGTATCTACTGCTTTATGCACTCACTATGTTTGTTTTCCTTCGTAACAATGGCCACCTTGAGCTCATGCTGCTAGGATGCATAGCTTTTGAGTTATTGAGAAAAATGTTGTTTTTCGTCAAACCGATCTAATATAGGAGGTCTACGGGTGATTCAATTACGGCGCCTTTCTTGCATGATTTGTTTGTATTTTGCACTTAACTGTGAAGAACAAAGTTATAAACTTAGTTATAGTCACACTTAAGGAAAGGCAAGGTTTTGCAATGTTGGGCTATTTGACATATACGTCATGATAATGACAGAAATTAGATTTGGGGCAAGACGGACCACTGTGGTCCATCTTACCCTGTGGTGGTCCATTGTACCCTGCATATGGAAAGTTCTTTTCCAAAACATTGACACAAGTTTGAGTAAGCTATTTTTTCAGGAAGGAGTCTTTGTTGCATGTGAGCCATGCATGCAAGTGCTCAGTTAGCATGCATTCATGCCAAACGACAATCAACACACACGTTCCCAGCTTTTAGCTGCACTTCCATCACACATGAGTAAAGAATAAAGGCTCATTTTGTTATTTTACCATTCTGGTTACTTTTTCTTACAAGAGTACAGAGCAGAAGTGTAACACACATGAACGGATAGCAGGCACTGCTGGGTGGTCCGTCTTACCCCACGTTTTTTCTTGTCTGAGTTTTTGACATGTCCCTCTTTAAGAGCATCCACCACCTAGATGTTGTTAATTTGAAATTTAGTCTTTACACATATCAACAGAGGAAGGATTGAGCATTCCGAAGACTATAAATAATATGAATTACGAGAGCAGTGTAGCAAGATATGCGGCCTCAAACCTTAGCTGGTCCGTCTTACCCCACCTTCCCCTACGAGGAGACGCATCTCCATCGCGGCAACAGGGTGGCCAGCAGGTGGCGCCCCGCGCCGGTCGTCGGTGAGTACCGTACAGGTGGCGCTGTAGTCGCGGGCCGACGCTGGCTGTCCGCCTTGGTACGGAAGGTTTGGTCGTTATTGAGGTCGAGTTGATCATTTGGATAAGGTTTGGTATTTTTTTTATGTGTGATGCATTCTCATGCATGCGATCTGCTTTACGTTCACTACTATTGTAGCCTGGGAATGTCTGCTCAACCCGGGAAAAATTACCACTTGGAAATTCCCTCGGCACAGCATTCGTTTAGCAAATTTCCACCTTTCATTTTCATTCACTTAGCTTTTTAGGTCTCCTACAAACTTTTTACAAACCATTGTATCCTCACTACGCTTCCCGGATTCGGTTTGTTACTTTCCACGGGTGAGCACGCGAAGCATGCCTGTCATCGAGCCCGATCGCTGCCCTGTCACCTGAGGACGATCCCTCCCTTCTTACTCCCTCCTGTCGCCCCTGTGGTGAC